TATAGTTGTGTGAATGACTCAATACTAAAAACTTCATTTAATAATTTATGTGGATGAGTTCAAGACCATCTACTGTTCTATACACACTGTTCATTAGCAGGTAAAAAACTGAACTGACATTTGTTTTCTCTGAAGTTAAAGGATTCATCGTCTCAGCGATATGAAGTTAAGCTCCCAGCTGGTGTTCCTCAGAACAAATCTGATCCGACACAAGATGTCCTGTATACCACTGAATACCAGTCTGACCCATTTGGCTTCATAGTGCGGCGGAAATCTAATGGAAGAGTGATGTGAGCAGCTCTATTCAGTTTTATATAGGATGCATTATATAGATGGCATAATGGTAATGTCTGTAATGTCCGTTCATTATCAGCATTGCTTGTGCCTATTCCTTCTGTGACAGTGTCCCAATTTCTATAGTGTGTTCTTTTAATTATACATAATGTATATTTCTATGCCTGTAATAGTTTTCTTAGTCATGATGATCATGTAGTGCATGTTTGTTTGTTCTCTGTGTCCCTTCTGTCCAGTATGAACACCACGGTCGCTCCTCTGCTGTTTGCTGACCAGTACCTGCAGCTGTCCACCTCACTGGCCTCTTCTCTTGTGTCTGGCCTTGGGGAGCATTACACCTCCCTCCTCCTGGACCTTAACTGGACTTCTCTCACTCTCTGGAACAGAGACATGGCGCCTCACGTGAGTCTGTTGCAGTGGCTCCCAACCTCAGGGTAGGGACGCCTCAAGGAGTCGCAAGAAAAATCTGAAGGTTGTAGAGATAATTTACAAGATATACTGCGGAAAAAGAGTATTCCTGCAAAGTTTTCTGGCTCTAATCTTTGTGAAATAATGGATAGTTTGACCTCTTCCATTCTCTAAAACTTAAATGAAACAAAACTGCTCACAATTTAAACAAATGTATCTAATGTATGTAGTCTTTGACAAGGGGTTGCAAGAAGTCATTGGATTGCTTAAAGGCCCAAAAGCCAAAATGCTTAGTAACTATGAGACATGTCAGTGATGTACATTATGTAGATTATAATATATACATCCACTCCTTATTTAATCTATAGCACATTAAAGGTCTAGTGTGTAACATTCAGGAGGCACCATGGGTAAAAATGGAATGTAATATTGATAGGTATATTTTCATTGGTGTATAATCCCCTGAATTTATGAATCGTTGTGTTTTTGTTACCTTAGAATGAGCCATTTTTATCTACAGACGCTGCGGGTCCTC